CGTATGGTAACCCTATTTAAGAGTGTGGTAGGCCCATACACAGTCGATTGAGCTTGTGTCGTCAAATGGCCTGGCACCCACAGCAGGCCACTGGGTGGCACTTTCAAAAGGCCACTTGACTAATAAGCACATGTGCAGCACTGGTGAGTTAACCCTTGTCTAAACTTCTGACCGAGAGCTGCCACTATCTCTGTGACATGCTCCTTAGGGGTCTAATCCTGAAAGGCCTAGCACACCTTCACATCCCATGGAAATCAGTGGTGAAGAGGCAGCTCAGTACCTCTTAGGATCAGGCCCATAATTTCTAAATACAAATGTCTCCTTCCCTAGATTTTCAGGGAAATCCTGCTGTTCTTACTCAGGCAGATCTCCCACTGGACCTAAAGCAAAGGCCTCATCTCCATGGCAGGCACCCTCTAGGTATTCAGCAGCACCTCTACAGAAATATCACTGAGTTTGTAATTCAGCACCTCTCTCCTTCAAGTCTCTGTGGACAGTGATATTTAAAAGGGGGAAGGGAGGAGGGCACCTTTGCTGCAATCACTGAAGGCATTTCACATCAAGCAATCGGAATCATAGTTATTACTCACCAAGTCTAATATACCAATGGAATTCCAGCCTTGCATTATAGGGAGAAAAGAAATAAATGTCGGGATGGTCCAGCACCCTCCAAGCATTAGAGCAATGCGCAGTGGTGTCATCTTATTCCTGTAAACCAGAGGCTGGCAGCAGATAGCATAGTACCTAAAAGGGGAAGGAGAGACACTGTTCATAAATAATGGAGATTGCTCCAGGGCTTTTAAAGACAAAACAAAAATACAGCTTATCCAATCTTTTTCTTCTCCTTTTTATAGCTGCTTTTCATCCAAGGGTCTCAAAGCACTTTAAAAGCACGAATGAATGAAGCCTCAAAATTTTCCTTTGAGGGAAGTCGGTATCACTCTTTTACAGGTGGGGAAACTGAGGCACAGAGCAATGCAGTGACTTATCCAAAGTCAGAGAGCAAGATAGTGGCAGACCCTCTAATTTAGCACTGATCTCCTGACTCCTGTTTTGTGCTTTAGACACCAAGCCATCTTCCTCCTCTTAATGATGATGAAGAGCTAGTTCATCTGCCTCCAGTTCAGCCATTATTGAGATGATTTTTTTTTTAACTTCAGGACAATGGACTTGTTTTTTGGGGATGGAAGGGGTTCTCTGAGAAATTTAAGTTCTTTCATACCCCCCATGTGCATTTAGCATTCATAATAACAACAGGATATAGCACTTTTCTTTCATAGATTTCAAAGCACTTTACAAAACAGTGTCACTATTTCCCTTGTACACATGGGGAAACTGAAGCAGGAAAGGGTGCCTTGCCATGCCCAAGGCCACTTAGCTGAGTGAGTAGAAGACTGACTCCCAGCCCTCTGTACAATCGACATGTCACTTGGAGTTACCCATCTGCTTCAAGAGAACTTACCTACTATCTGCCTAAATATATCCCCAAGGCACCATCCAGGCCTTGAACTCTAAGTCCATTTCTGAACTCAGTATGTGCCCATAAACAAAGCAGTGCACCAGCCATGCCACTACACTGCAGGTTTATGTTGGGCCTGATCCAGCAGGCTTTGCTTGGGCAATACTTGCTCTTAATAAAAGCTCTTGCATGATATCTTTGATGCATGGTCTTGCTGGTCTTTAATCAACAAATTGCCTAGGGAGGTTGTGGAATCTCCATCACTGGAGATTTTTAAGAACAGGCTAGACAAACACCTGTTAGGAATGGTCTAGTTATTACATTGTTCTGCCTTGAGAGCAGGGGACTGGACTAGGTGACCTCTCGAGGTCCCTTCCAGTCCTACACTTCTGTGATTCTATGAATCTCAAAACATTTTACAAAGCTGCACCAGGATTATTATCCCCGCTTTTCAAATGGAGAAACTGAGACACAGTGATTTGACCAACGTCATTGGCCGAGACAGGAATAGACACCAGAACTCCTGACCCCTAGTCAAGTGTTCTATCCAGGCTGCTTCGCTATAGAGGTCTCTGCAGTTAGCCTGGGTTGTATTTGATGGAGTGAGAGGAATCAAAGCCAAGTGGTGTCAGTATATTGATATTGGGATGTGGACTGCAAAGCTGATAGAGGGCAATATAACCACAATACTAAGGAAAGTCCCCAAGCTGTGCCTTTCACCAAGAGAACAGATAAGGAGTAAATTGAATACTCAGGCGACACAACACAATTTCTTCCTTGACCATATTAGGCGAGATTAAGCAAGCACATTTGCAAAGTGACTTTTTATGTGAAGTGTTTGATAGCTCTGCTCACAAAACTGCACTAAAATCTTTAATACATCAGCCATGCACTTCACAAACTGGAAGCATTTGCAGATGAGAACATTTTCAATTTGCTTTTTAAAGTCCCTACGGATTCAGCAGATCTGATAGCTCTTAGAAGACTGCTCCACAGCCTGATTTAACTAGACATACTTCTTTATTAGCCTGAAAAGGGAAGAGAGGACCATCAGGGGAATACAGGAATTGCCATAACAGCTCAGAGCAGTGGCCAAGCTAGTTCAGCGTCTTGTCACTGACAGTGACAAGTCCAAGCTGTTTCAGAGGAAGATGCAAGAATCCCTGCAGAAGACAATTACGGAGTATCTTGTCCACAGGGGAAGGGGGAAAGAGAGTTGACTCCTAGGTGGCAAAGGAAATGTTCAGATTGCTGTGCTGCCTGACAGGATGCTACTGTGGGAGTAACTGTTGTGGGGTGTTTCTGCTCACTGACAACAAGGAGTGAGGGCAGGAGGAGCTGCATCTGAAAATGACTTGAGATGTCTTCTAGTGCATTTCAAGGAACCACAGTCTCTAGGATTACAACAAGCCCTTAGCAAGTAGGAAAGACATTACCCACCATTTGCAAAAAGCATCTCCTTGTATCAGGGCATATTTCTAGAGCGGAATAGTGGTGGTTTGACTGGTATATTTCACTAGAACTGGTCGGAGACACTTTGACAGAATCATATTCTGACAGAACATGCGGCTCCATCAAAATCAATAAACTTCATGAAATCAGGTCAATTCTCCAGGAAAAAAAGTTCTGACAATGTCCAAACATCCCATGTTGATGTTTTTGGAATGAAACATTTTGATTTTTTGTTTTGAAATTAATTTTCATTTTCATTTTTGTATTTTGTGTTATATTTTAAAACATTTTGATCAACCAAAAGCACTTTTGTTTTTATTTATTTATTTAAGAATTTTCCTTCACAAAGAATTTTGAAATTTTCTGTGTTTATTCCAATTTGGCATGAAGCCACATTTCAAAATCTTGAAAGCCTCACTTCCGTCCTCAGCCCAGCTCTATAGATTAATCATCCTTAACTGAGACCAAGGATGTGTTTCTTCACTCAGAATATTGGATCGTCAGTGAAGTTAATTATGGGTGTAGCATAATACCAATTTGAATTTATGTCATGTCTTTAACCCAAATGTCTCAAAGCATTTTACAAAGGTGGGTAATTCTAAGTATCATCTCCTTTTTACAAATGGAGAAACTGAGGCACAGAGCAGAGACATGAGTGGTTCAGGGTCAGAGACTGTCAATGGCACACTCATGAACAGAATTGAGGTAGAGCTAAGTGAAAAATGCACAAAACAAACAAACAAAAGTCTATCCCTGAATATTTGGCTGTATTTTAAGTGAATTGTTCTGACCATGTTTGCACCCTACTAGGAACAGGTCAGGAAAGAGCATACCCCTCAAAGCACCTGATCGAAAACTCATTAAAGTCAGAGGAAAGGTTCCTAGTGACTTCAATAGGCTTTGGATCTGACAACTAATTGAACAGACGACTTCTGATGGAAAATGACCTTTAAAATCACATGGAAAGGTACTGCAGGACATAAAGTTTGTCATGAGATTACAGACAGCTGTAGTGCAACAGCTAAACTTGGCTCCTGAGGGAGACAGTAGGTCCACATGTGCGGTGCTAATTATGAGTTGTCAACGTGCTGTTTTGTGATTGTGGGTCAGTGAGGCACACACACAAATGTTGAATCACAAGTGGCAGTGCAAGAGATCCTATCTCAAGAGTGTAACACCTGATGCGCTCTTCAAATCCACACACCTGAGCGCCATAGCTGTGCTAACCTAACCCCTTGTGTAGAATGCTTCCGTCCACCTAGCTACTGACGCTTGGGGATGTGATGTGCCTATAGTGATGGAAAAAATGTTGCTGTAGGCTGTGTCTACACTATGGGCTTATACAAACATAGCTATAGCACCAGAGCTATGCAACTATATTCCCAGCAGGGTAGACATGGGTTAAATATTTACACATAACTTAACTATAGGAATGCTGTATGTATTTTAATATTGAATGGGCAATTATGGTTTGGAAGAGATATTTTGCAGATCTGGCCTGCAAAAGCTCGGAAGCAGTGCTGTGTGATACAGCAACAGTATCTGGGAATCCATGGGATAAGAGAACTGCATTAAAGTAGTTACCTTAGAATAAAAAAGCCATTAAAAATAGGAACAAACCATGTCTAGCTGCCGGCAAAGAGAATTACTTTGTGTCAGGCTTGAGTCTGAGATTGGCCTAATCTCTGAATGGAGGCAAGGGAAGGACATCTGTGACCATAGGCACCGACTCCATGGGTGCTCCGGGGCTGGAGCACCCATCAGCAGCCCCCCATTAGCTCCCCTCAACCCCCCCACCACCTCCCGCCCGCTGGCGGCCCCGTGGATCAGCGCCTCCCCCTCCCTCCCCGCACCTCCCGCCCGATGCAATCAGCCATTTCTCTGCATGCAGAAGGCTGGGCCGGGGAGGGAGGAGCAAAGACACGGCATGCTCAGGGGAGGGGGTGGAATGGGGCAGGAAGAGGTGGGGTGGCGGTGGAGCAGGGGCAGGAAGAGGCGGGGTGGAGTGCAGGCAGGAAATGGCAAGGCCTGGGGCAGAGCTAGGGGTCGAGCACCCCCCGGCACATTGGAAAGTCAGCTCCTGTGCCAGTCCACTTTATGAGTGCAATAGCATCATCCTAAACTGTGACAATAAGAAGTAGCAATGGCCAGG